CAATGGTAATCTAGTAACCTTATACACATATCTACAATCAAATCTAGTAACCAGCCATGGACAGATTATATTGATAAAAGTATTGGGACGCCTGCCTTTACACGCACATGAATTTTAATGGCATCCCAGTCTTAGTCCGTAGGGTTCAATAGTGAGTTGGCCCACCCTTTACAGCTATAACAGTTTCAACTCTTCTGGGAAGGCTGTCCACAAGATTTAGGAGTTTGTCTATGGGAATGTTTGACCATTCTTCCAGAAGTGCATTCGTGAGGTCAGGCACTAATGTCAAATGAGAAGGCCTGGCCCGCAGTCTCTGCTCTAATTCATCCCAAAGGTGTCAGGTGTGAGGTCAGGGCAGTCAAGTTCCTCCACCCCAAACTCACTCATCCATGTCTTTATGGACCTTGCTTTGTGCACTGGTGTAAAGTCATGTTGGAACAGGGAGGGGCTATCCTCAAACTGTTCCCACAAAGTTGGGAGCATGAAATTGTCTAAAATGTCTTGGTATGCTGATGCCTTAAGAGTTCCCTTCACTGGAACTAAGGGGCCAAGCCCAAGCCCTGAAAAGCAACCCCACACCATTATCCCCCCTCCACCAAACTTTACACTTGGCTCAATGCAGTCAGGCAAAGTACTGTTCTCCTGGCAACCGTCAAACCCAGACACATCCATCAGATTGCCAGACAGAGAAGTGTGATTCCAGAGAACACGTCTCCACTGTGCTAGAGTCCAGTGGCGGCATGCTTTACAGCACTGCATCCAACGCTTTGCATTGCACTTGGTGATGTAAGGCTTGTATGGAGCTGTTCTCCATGGAAACCCATTCCATGAAGCTCTCTATGCACTGTTGTGCTAATCTGAAGGCCACATGAAGTGTGGAGGTCTTTCGCTATCAACTCTATGGACAGTTGGTGACTTCTGTGCACTGTGCACTTCAGCATGTGCTCACCCTGCTCTGTCATTTTACGTGGCCTACCACTTGGTGGCTGAGTTGCTGTTGTTCCCAGTTGCTTCCACTTTGTTATGATACCACTAACAGTTGACCATGGAATATTTAGTAACAAGGAAATTTCATGGATGGACTTATTGCACAGGTGGCAACCTATCACGGTACCACACTTGAATTCACTGAGGTCCTGAGATCAACCCATACTTTCACAAATGTTTGTAGAAGCAGTCTTCATGCCTAGGTGCTTGATTTTATACACCTGTGGCCATGGAGGTGATTGGAACACCTGAATCCAATTATTTGGAGGGGTGTCCCAATACTTTTGGCAATATAGTGTATATCCTTCAAAGTGGCCTTCATTTTGAACAATGTATTAAACTTTTCTTTTTTTTTTCACCACCTACAGCTACACTTGACTTCTCAGACCAGTTCGGACAATCATAGTTCTCCCTCTGAGTGCTTTAAATTTGCTGGCTTATCATTTGTGTCATGCTGCTTGTATCTGATGAGCTGTGCGTGCTGGGCAAGTTGCAGGTGTATGATCTTGGAAAGGAAAATCAGTCTATGTTTTTACCGTTACATGCTGAGAAAGAAAGGGTTTAAATAGATTTAGTTAATAAATGAGTTGGGGCTTTCAGGAGGATCAGCCTGCAGACTCCTGATGGAGACGCAGCTTCCTGATGTACCATATTATAACATATGATAAAGGGATTGTTTTTGTTTTAGCATTGCTATCAAGATCCGTTTCCATAATCATCTTCACAGTCTTTTCAGGGTCTTCCATAGTGTCATGGGAAAAAGAGCAGCACATCTGTTATCTTTCACAGCCACATTGAAGTTGTAACCTAAGAATGCCCTGCTAGATCAACAAAGGCATCATGCAGATCATATCTTCTAAAAACACAGCTAAATAAAAAAATGGAGAACGGGAATCTCTGTATCTTCAAATATTGACTGATTTGAGGCAAATAAAGTGGAATTAAGTATTCCCTTAAACATCGTATGGAAGTTGACCTAGTGACCGCAACACAATATATTATTATAAACAAAGGTTAACTGCTATTATTGTAATGATGACATCTGTGTGCAATAATTTAAATTAGGCCTATCAGTAACTTCACAAGTTTTTTATGAATACATTCCTAGCATATCACAATATATATCAATAGTATAATTTTCCAAAAACCTGTATTTTGTATAATTAAAAAGCAGTTCCTAAGCTCCAGTTGAGTCGCTTTGTGTAGGATAATATGGTGTAACCAGCCTGCTGCAGAAAACCTTGGCAACATTGTACCTTTGAAGCAGGTTACAAGATAAAAGGCTACAGCAGGGTCTGATATGTAGATGTTTATAGACATATCCAAGAACTGCAAAGGCCCACAAGGTACATCATTTTGTGATTTTGAGCCAACATTAAAGTGCTACATATAAGTTTGTAACATTGTTTCCGAAGAAGGGAAAGTTTTTCTTTAAAAAATGTTGGTCCTTTTCCCTTTATATAGTAATAAATAATACCACCAAATTAAAATTCTCTATATCTAAAAAAATGATATCAAATTATTTTTTACACTGTTGCATGACCCAGTAATTGTAAGTCAAAATATCACAGTGCTGAAAACTGAACAAATGGCCTGGGTAGGAGAGGGATTTAAAATGCCAGTCTTTACATGGTTAAACCTGGACATAGCACACTGCAGCCCACCCCCAGGACTGCTCCTTTGTAATTTGTCACCCAAAACAGGCTTGATCAGAGTTTCCACAGGAAGAAAAGTGCTATAGAAATATTGTTACTATTATTGTTGTTGTTATTAGTATTACTATCATTGTCATCATCATCATCGGCAGCAATAATAATAATAATAATAATAGGATAACTGAAACAGTCTAAATAATATATCATTCATATTATAGATCCATTTCAAATGTTAACTTTGCTGATAATAAAATATAACAAGCTGTTCATTATGGCTGTGTGTTTACATTATAGAGCTGGCAAGCTGCAAAGAATCTGCTCTCCACAGAAGTTAAAAGGGGTGCAAACTTAGATTTCTGTGCTCCTGTTATGAATATTGAGGATGAAACATCTCCACAATGCTTATAGCTACAGATGGGTTTCTTAAGGGTCTGTTTTAAAGTGCTGCTACTGCTTGAGCAGATTGTGTAACAGGATTTTCTATTGACCTGACTATGTAAATACTGTACTGTGCCTAGTCTGGGCACAGGTTAATTTTAAGTCCTCGTGCATGCCTTTATGCTGTGTTGACAATTCATTGCTATTTACATTAATGACCTGCAGCCCAATTCATCCCTAATAGTCCCCAAAGTGCACCACAATGCATAATAACACACTTTAACAAAATAAGCAGTCAACTGAATAATCAGGCATCAGAATAACTGTAACTTGCAATTTACCAAGCAGGTACACATTTAGAAGCACTAATGCAAAACAGGTTCAGGATGGAAAACAAAATATGTTACACTTCACAAACATAGGAAAAATGCACAGACATGGACTCTTCATAGCTATGTCTCTGTCACACAGTCAGGGTAACATGTGGCAGCATATCATAGTCTCTTTATAATTCTATAGCAACACGAGTGTTCAAACTGAGAATCACTACTTCAGTAAAACAGTCTAGCACACAGCTACTTGTGATTATTAGAGATGAGCGAAGTATTCAAAAATTCGATTCGACTGATTCGGCGAATTCGTGGAAAAATTTTGATTCGAGTCGAATATATTCGCTGTGAATTTAACTTAAAAAAGGGTGTTTCTAGGCTTCAGAGAGACTTAATATTAGTGCAGAACACTGTACCTTTAATTTAAATGCCCTTGGAGTCTGCTGGGGAAGAGAAATAATACTGTCAGTCAGTATGACATGCAGCAGATGAGTGCCGTCGATCTTAGAATCACCGCACACTTCACTCATTTGGGGCAGTCACGGGGCCAAAACCAGAGTGTGGAGCCACAGTGTGGCGGTAGAGGCAGCAGCAATGGGAGGCCATACAGCACCCTATGACAAAAATGGAAACCACCAGCAGTGTGAGGAGACCTGAAAGTGGCACATGGCAGAGTGTGGCGATAGAGACAGCAGCAATGGGAGGCCGTACAGGGACCCATGACACACTCTGGACCTGGCAGCAGCATGAGGAGTCGGTACAGGGGCCCATGACAGATTACGGGCCTGGCAGCAGCATGAGGAGTCGGTACGGGGGCCCATGGCAGATTACGGGCCTGGCAGCAGCAATGCGAGGCCGTACAGGGACCCATGACACACTCTGGACCTGGCAGCAGCATGGGGAGGCGGTACAGGGGCCCATGACAGATTACGGGCCTGGCAGCAGCAACTTGGACAGGAGGACGTTCAGCTTCTGCACCGTCGGGTGCGTGCTCGCAAACTGTTGTCTCTTGGAAACGGATTCCAAGAAAGACTGCTGACGGAATCCGTGAAGAGGAGTAGCAGGAGAAGGAGCATCTGAACGAGCGGAATATTCCAACAAGCGACAACAGGGGCCCATGACAGATTACGGGCCTGGCAGCAGCATGAGGAGTCGGTACGGGGGCCCATGGCAGATAAGGGGCCTGGCAGCAGCTATGGGAGGCCCCTAATCTGCCAGCACCCTATGACAAAAAATGGAACCCACCAGCAGTGTGAGGAGACCTGAAAGTGGCACATGGCAGAGTGTGGCGATGGAGACAGCAGCAATGGGAGGCCGTACAGGGACCCATGGCAGACTCTGGACTTGGCAGCAGCATGAGGAGGCGGTATAGGGCCCATGGCAGATTAGGGCCTGGCAGCAGCTATGGGAGGCCCGTAATCTGCCAGCACCCTATGACAAAAAATGGAACACACCAGCAGTGTGAGGAGACCTGAAAGTGGCACATGGCAGAGTGTGGCGATGGAGACAGCAGCAATGGGAGGCCGTACAGGGACCCATGAGAGACTCTGGACCTGGCAGCAGCATGAGGAGGTGGTATAGGGGCCCATGGCAGATTAGGGGCCTGGCAGCAGCTATGGGGAGGCCCGTAATCTGTCCAGCACCCTAATGAAAAAAATGGAACACGACCAGCAGTGTGAGGAGATCCTGAAAGTGGCACATGGCAGAGTGTGGCGATGGAGACAGCAGCAATGGGAGGCGCGTACAGGGACCCCATGAGAGACTCTGGACTTGGCAGCAGCATGAGGAGGCGGTATAGGGGCACCATGGCAGATTAGGGGCTGGCAGGCAGCAGCTATGGGAGGCCCGTAATCTGCCAGCACCCTATGACAAAAAATGGAACACAAACCAGCAGTGTGAGGAGACCTGAAAGTGGCACATGTTTGGGGCATGATTACATGGCGATTTAGTCAGTTGTGTCAGGAACTGGTGGTTTTAAATCCAGAACTAATCCACGCCTGATTCATTTTCACAAACGTCAGTCTCTCCACACTTTGGGTGGACAGGTACGTGTCCTCCGCGGAGTTTGCAATACCTTCCTGCCGCACTAAACACGCGCCTCCGATGCCACGCTACTGGCCGGCATGACAGCCTTTCAAGGCAAATTCAGCTAGTTTGGGCCAAAGGTCAAGTTTCGTTGCCCAGTAGTCAAGGGGATTGTCTACCTACCTCGGTTGGCAGGGTGCTGTCCAAGTAGGCCTAAGCCTGTTGTTTGAGGTCCTGCTCCAGGACCACCTGATAGCTGCATGCTGCTGCTGCTGCGGCTGGTTAGTAGTTTCCTCACTGCGCTGGTGAAGAAAGCTACTCATCAACGACTGCAGACTGAGGCAGCCGCTGCTGGTGGAGCTGCCACTGCTCTACCACCCCACCCCTCCCCTGCTGCCATGGCAGCGGAACGCGAGCGCACCAGGGCCTACAGTGTCTGAGGATGGACGTTGGCGCAGACAGGCAGAGACCAGCTGACTACATAGGTGGTTTTTTATAGTACGTTATTTTGGCCCTCCCTCTCAGCAAGGTGTGTGGACAAAGGCCACCATTTTTGAACGGTTGTCGAGGGTCCAACAAGGTGGACAGCCAAAAGTCCATCCCTCTGTCTGATCGGTTATTATGTCAGGCAAAAGTTTATGTCGCTATTCGTGTCGCAAGCAAAGCGAGCATGCTATGGTGCCCATTTGTGCCAAGGAATGCGAGGGAACACTCCCTGCCATCCATCTCCACAGCCATAACACTGCCAGACACGGTGCGTCTGGGTCCTCTGTCTCCTCTTCCTCTCCTCTACCAGATGCTCCTGCCCTCCACTCCTGTCCGCTGGAGTGGAAAAAACCACCCCCCCCCCCATTTCACTCAATAATTCCCTGAAGCACACAGATGTTTCCTACCTCTACCTCCTCTCTCTTCTTCCTGTCCTGCCCCGACAGGGGTCGATGTGGCTTTGAGATCTGCTGCCGCCACGTCTCTACGCGCAACCCTGACCCAGCCATTGTTAACAGGCATTTGTTCGCAGAACGTGCAACAGAGGAATGACGTCGTTTTCATCCCACATAGTCCTTGCCCGACTCACGAATAGCGTGGCCTCCTCAAAGGGCCTGAGCAAGCGCAGGAGTCACGCATGAGCTGCCAATGGCTGGACCTCTATGTTAACACAGGGGAGTACCTTTATCCGCTTTTAAACATCAGGAAATCTGTGATGGCCTTTTGTCTGTTCGTAAAGGCGGTCTAACATATGTAGGGTTGAATTCCACCTTGTTGCGAAGGCACAGCCATGAGGAGTCGGGTTATAGGGGCCATGCGCAGATTAGGGGCCTGGCAGCAGCTATTGGGAGGCCCGTAATCTGCCAGCACCTTTGACAAAAAATGTAACACACCAGCCGTGTGAGGAGACCTGAAAGTGGCACTTGGCAGAGTTGTGGCGATGGAGGACTGCAGCAATGGGAGGCCGTACAGGGACCATGACAGACTCTGGACGTGGCTAGCAGCATTGAGGGAGGAGGTATAAAGGGCCTATGGCAGATTAGGGGCCTGGCAGCAGTATAGGAGGCCCGTAATCTGCCCCAGCACCCATATGAAAAAAAATGTAAACACACCCCAGCAGTGTGGTGTGGAGACCTGGGAAAGTGGCACATGGCAGAGTGTGGGAGACGATGGAGACAGCAAGCAATGGGAGCAGTACAGGGACCCATGACCAGAATCTGGACTGGCAGCCAGCATGAGGAGGCGGTATATAGGGCCTATGGGCGATTAGGGGCCTGGCAGCAGCATAGGAGGCCCCCTAATTGCCCGCACCCTATGTCAAAAAAACAACACACCAGCAGTGTGAGGGGACCCGAAAGTGGCACATGGCGAGTGGGCAAAGGAGACGCACAAAGGGAGGCCGTAAAGGGGGCCCCTGACAGACTCTGGACTTGGGGAGCAGCAAAGAGGGGGGGTATTTTAAAGGGGG